CTCTTTCCCACAACCATTTGGACCCCTCAGACAGGTACTTTATGCTGCAAAGGTTTCTTTAAAAACAACTTTGTTGCTTCTTGGATCAGTCTTGGGGATTTCTGTTGCTTTGGAGTTGGGTTGGGGGGTTTTGTTGTTTTTTAGTTGGGTTTGGTTTGGGATTTTTTTGGTTGGTTGGGTTGTTTGGGGGGTTTTTTGGGTTTTTTTTGTTTTTGTTTGTTTGTTTGTTTTTTTATGACAGACTGCAGTGCTGACTAAAACTAAGTCAGAGAAGAAATAGCAATATAAGAGTCTGATCATAAAAGTGACCCAGCAGACCAGGAGGGGGATGCTTTTACTTCCCCAATCCACCCTGGCTTGCCCCCTGCCCTGGGCCACAACTCACCCTGTGGAAAGCAGGCAGAGACAGTGACCAAGAGATGTTTAACTACTGTTAATGCCACATAAATACAGAAAAGTAGATTCTGTGATAGAGCAGAGAATGAACTTGCTAGTAGTCTTTTTTTAAATGTAAAAGTAGTAAATTTTGATAGCAATACTACAGCAAACCATTGACTGGTTTGTCAAGCTGGGCAGGGCTGTCAGCAGCAAGACTCAGTCTCATCTCGGCACACAGCCTGTCTCTCCTTAGCGCAGCCCTCACAGAGGCAGAATAATGTATCTTGGGTACTTGGACACCAGCTTTGTCGTGGTGCAAGGTGGTGGTGAGTAAAATACCCGTTTGCTTTTGAAAAAGCACATAAAGAATACACAAAAAGGATTTTTTACATTTGAAAGTCTAGATATTTTTTCTTCCATACCCCCAAACTAAACTTTTTACCAGCTTGAAGACAAAGACACAAAGATGAAGAAAAACTTGGTGAGAAGGATAAAAGAAAACCCTGTAAGTATTTTCAAGGCAAAAGACTAACAATATTTATCACACGGCTTGTTTTACTATAGGATGCTTGTGTGCATCAAGATATCACAGTTGGAAAGTTCTACTTTAAATAGCCTGAAACACCAACAGAGAGAGTGTTTCTCCTAATACAGAGTCAACCTGTTTTTGAACCTCACAGTCCACACCTTCAAATTTGACAGTGATTTATGAGGAAGTTTCAACATTTCTTACAAAGTAATTCAAGCATTGTTTCTCATCCAGAACTGAGCTGGCAATGTTGCATGTGAAAGAAATCAAATCACATCAAGCGTTACGTACCACCTCCAGAAGGGCTAGCAACCCACCCTCTACACCATTTGCTTGCCATGCACTGTGCCATCGCGTAGAGGAGTGCAGAGGAACGCTGCTACGCAGCCCCTTGACGGAGGGTTACGTGAGAGCAGAGCCCAGACCTCCGCGGGGGTCCTGCACTCAGACGGGCTGATCTATCAGCTACTTCCTTAACGGCCAGTCATCAGCTTGTCACAGCGCTGCAGAAGATGCAAGACTTGAAAAAACGGGAAGACTGTTTTGAAATTAATCCTTGTCTTTGGCAGTTTATGTTCAGCAGCATAAACACAAGACAAGTCCTCACCGCACTTCAGTTAAAAAAAAAAAAGTGGTGGTTTTTTTTTTTTTTTTGACAGGGAACAGAGGCAGGCGATGCCAATTCTTGAAGTCCGAGGGAAATTTTGGGGATATCCGAAACCTGAAATGCTGAACAGATTCAAGGTCATGCTTTCTCATTGCCTTAGGGCTGTTTTGGATAAGGAAGTTAAAAGACAGTGAACGAGATGGTAATTCTTACTTGTAGGTACACGTAACAACAGTATGCTATCAAGGGCATCTTTGTAATAAGCATTTTATTCACTTTTTAAATAAGCCAAACTAAACATAGTTTTGAATTTAAACAAACAGATTACTAATAGGTTCCAAAAAACCCA